AATAAAAGGGTAACTGTTGGCTCTTTGCAGCAAGAGAAACACGTTGAAACAGCAAAGTTCTAAAGACTATTTGTCTTGTGCCTCGCAGCTTCCTGCTTCAGACTAAAAAAGTACGGCATATAAATAGAGCGGGCAAGTGTGAACGGATGATAGCAACACACTGCTCCACATTTAAAAAATCCCTGGAGCTGGAGTTCCTTCTGAGTCGTTTGGGATGATTCTTGTGCAAATAGGGACATTCAGTACAGCTGCCTGCAAACAGGAGCCACGCTGCTCCTGCGGGCATCCCGGGACAGCAGAGAGGTTAGCAGCCTTAAATCTCAGTTTTCTCCACTTAAAAATAAACTTGGCAGCCCTCCCCAGAAAACAAGAAGGCTCCTTCCAAAGAAAACATCCTCGCCTGCAGATGCTTTTGTCTGTGGAAACAGAGGACCCGAATTTGCTCGTAGGCCACATCGACGTGAGCCCACTGAGGTTGGCGCGGCTGATGTTGAGGGAGATGTTAGCTCCCTGAAACACCTTCTGAATTAAAATGTACCTTTGGGGAAAACATTTAAAAAAATACAAGCCTCGGCATTAGGTTTTCAGCATGTGAAAATGCTCCCATTTGGGCTTAGCAGCTTAGTTCTGATTTGGGGGGGGGGCGTTATTTTTTTTTTAAATGTGACTGTAATCTGAGGTTGAAAAGTAAACTTTCAACTCATGAAAACCCATTTTCTCTTAGGACATACTTTTTGCAGAACGATCTAAGAAACCTAGTAGCAAACAAGCCCGTTCCTATTTAACTTTTAAGTTATACCATGAATATAAAATCAAGTTCATTCTACTCAGGAACTCAGCAGGTTGGTATAACAAGTGCACAGAAACAACAGCTTGCTCTGTTTAATGGGATTTTTCTTATTAATTCATTAGCAGTCTTTTTCTACACAAAGAGGAGGCCTCATTCTTTTCCTCATAAATATTGACTTTCTGTAACAAACACAGCTGGGGGGGGAAGCACTTAATATGTTGTAGTTCTCCTGTCACACGTTTGTAGGGTGCTTTCTTTTTTTCACAAGACCACAGATTTCCTCATCCCGAGGTGTCTCAAGAGAGACAGTGGCTGTCGGCTGTTTGTCTTCCTCAATCCTTTCACCTAGAAGAGAGGGGGAAACCCCCGGCGTCTCTCTCAACGTGCTACTTGAAGAAGCTACATGAAAAAACAAAAAGGAAAAAAAAAAAAGGGCACCAAAACCCTCACACACACAAAAGCCCCCACCCTAGTAAGAGAAGGCACATCAAGCCTTCAAGCCTGTAGCCTCTGCATCGGTATCATTTGAGGGCTGGATTCCCAAAATTAAGGTCTTAGACTGGCACTGGGAACGCATGATGGGACAGCAAGAGGCTCCTAAGCACCACCAGCAATTCTGTCCTGAAAGGCCGTTGGCTGGTGATGTCCTGGCGGGCCTGCCCCGCTGCTCCCCTGAGGGACGTGAGGATGGGATGTCACCTCGCTCCTGCTGACTGCCACATGTGATGCTCAGGACACTCAAAGCCTTGCAGTAAGTCGCCAACTCCTCACGTCGGCCCCAAGGAGACAGCGAGAGCCAATGTGCCTTAGGCACCAGCAGAAAACCCTGAGGCCGTTCGGCCGGAGCCTGTTCCTCTCCACCAGCGATGCTCATGTCCATCAGGATCCCTGCATCTGCCCACCTTCAACCAGGGCTGCCCCTGGCCTGCCAGCTACGGGCCAAACAAAAAGCATGTGAGCAAATTATACACCGAAGTGCCACCCAATCTTCAGGAAAGGCAGCAATCCGACTCATTCTCCTCAACGGCACCATTTGTGCCTGAAATAAAATAGATCCTCACTTTCACTGCTGGATTCAGCCTCCATCCATTCAGGACTGTACCGATGCCGCCTGCTTTGCCACTTAGAAGAAACGGATGCCTACCCACAGCCTCGTCACCCATGGATTTCCCAGCAGCCTTCAGTTCAGCAAAACGCATTTCCCCGCACCTCCAGCACCAAGAATAAGTGAGACAGATGTATATAAAATGACACACTTTATTAAAAGTTACATTCAGCAGCAATGGACATATTTTCTTAAGTAGATTTTAACTGTCAAGGAGCTTACAATTATAAATCCCCCTAAGGCATTAAAAGCTCTTAGATGTTTTAACTTCTTTGCAATCATTTCATATAAATAGGCAAGGTAAATGATGCTTGCCTAAGGAAAGGATACCCCAGCTGCATTAAACAAAGATACACATATAAATATATGTATAAAACAATGATTTTTTTTTTTTTTTGTTATACACTCATTGATGGGGCTATTTCACAGCCTTTAAGGCTTGGGCTCTGGCCCTGCAACTATTATTCACATAAGGAGTTGCCATGTGCGAGCGTAGAGATTGCTCACACGTATGAAAGCTGCAGGGCAGGGCCTAAGCTTCGGCAGAATCAGCTCAGTGAAACGTATTTACAGTCTGTGCAAGTAGCATCACCTACTGTTATTGATTATGGAGGTCTCTCTCGGAAGCTATCAACAGCAGAAAGGCACCGTGACAAAGGCAAATCGGCATCCGCTAGCTCTTAGTTTTTGACACCGAAGAGCAGTATTGGGGCTCTTGAGCCTTGGGGACATCATTTGGGGTGCGAGACAGAGAGAGCACCAGCAGCACGCAACTGCAGGCCTGAGCTCAGGGCACAACCGCATCGAGCCTCAAGTTCTTCCAGCTCCGACAACAGAAACCTCCTCTTGATGTGCAGTGGTTCATTTGCTTTTTCCGAGTGTAAACAAGAAAAATGCCAATCACTTCCAGTATTAGCCAACCGCCCACCCCCAATAAATAGTGATCGTTTAATTCATCTTTGTTCCATTAAACTGTGCTTTATGCCTCTAATAAGCATGTGTGTGAGGAAGAGGAAACTGCTGTTGAAACAGAAGCTGTGACTAGATCTGAGGAGCTGCATAAACCAATTTGAATTAATACAGCTGCAGGGTCTGAGTCTCTACCAACTTACCACTGGCTTTACATTTGCGTGCAACTCCTTTGGCTTCACGATGTACAATAGGTCAAGTCAGAAAGGCAAATCTGGCTTTACGTTACACTGGTGGCTGGTTACTGCACGGCGCGTGGCTGATGCAAACTCCCAGAATCAATTCACTGCAAAGCCTCTCAGAGCTGAACGCCAATTGGTACCTGAAGCCCTGTCCTCATTGACAGGCAAGGCTGACAGAAGGGGTTTCCACCACCACAGAGATGCTGGAGCAGTAGCATCAAGACCTCATACACAGCAACCGTGAAGGAAAGGCACGTTCCAAGTTATATTCCTAAAATATCTCGGTCATTCATTGAAGACAACCACTCTTCTGTATTCTGCTTTGACCTAGCAGCTTTCCTACCATCAGCTCCCCATGCCACAGCTCTGCTCTCCAAAGACCAACTCTCCAAAGGTAACTCCAGCCTTGGAAGCAAACACACAGTTATTGACGATCTCAACCCAGCTCCCGTTGCCTCTACACACACCCTCTGCCTGGGAAGCAGCTAACATCTGGCTGCAGCGAGGTTGTGAAAATTTAGTCTCCCACCACTCGCTTTCATCGGCCTCGCGCCGTTTCTCATAACCACCACTTGCTCTTCACCTTAGCACATGGAGGCAGAGATTCGAGAGAATTTCTTAGAGGAAAAATAGACCCTAAACTTGGAAATGGCCATCACCTCTCACAACCAGGATGATCTATGGACTAAAGGAAAGTCAACAGAAAAAAGATTTTCTTTCCATAAAATACACAAATCCCTGCTTTCCACACAGTGTTTTTGAAGGACACAAATGAAGCCAATGGCAAATGTTTTAATGGACAAAGAATCAGACCCTAAAGTATATTATTTTTATCTTGGCCATCTCACCGGCACAAAAAAAGAGATGGCTTCCAAGAACAGATTGGAATTTGGAACAAAGAGAGGGAAATGCCCCTTCCTTCCTTTTACTCTAGACCTGTTGGTTTGCATCGTGCCTTAAATAAGACGACAGCATTTCTTCAGAGAGAAACTAGAAATAGTAGAGCCAACAATATGTTTTCACCTTTGATGAAAATGGCTTTTATAACAAAATGGAAATGTTACAGGGGGAAAATTGTTGCAAAAATATTTTGGTTTGAAAAGGGACTCCACATAATGGAGGTGCATCTTCAGATGCACCAAGGACAATCAGGTACACAAACTCCCCTGAAAATGAGTGACCTGTGACCACAACTCCCATCTGTGCCCCCAAAAGCTTCTCCTAAAAGAGAGAAGAGACCTCCTGGACTCTGTGGAAACGGTGTAACTTTTCTTTTAAAGCCACCCCAAGAAATGCTGCCACCTTATGTAGAGCCTAGAGCTGGAAGGAGCTCCTCTGGCATTGCCCACATCCCCACCAGCCAGGCCTGTGGGGAGAGACCACTCCTGCAAGCCCCTGAAAGAGGAAGGGTGGGCAAAGGCGGGCGAAGCCCATGAGCTTTAGCTCAGAAGAAAGCTGGCAAAATATGGTGCTTCCTCAAGTCAACTAGCGCTGAAGATGAGTTTATGGAAGGTAATGAAACCATTACAGCTCCGTACAGAAAGACATTTCTAAGCTTTGTAAAAAAACCATAAAATCCCATACATGCTTCAAACTACAGGTATAATTTTTTTTTTTCCTGTATTCTCCATTGGAACTTGAATTTAAAACACAGTTTAACTCCTCAGTGTGTGAAATCTCACAGCCACATTAATCGAGAACATCTGAAGCCAGGAGAAAGAAATCACTTCCAGTTATGTTGTCAGTGTTATGTGCATAACATTCCCACAGCTGTAGATCCATTGTGCTCCATGTTATAAATAAGAAATTGCATGGTGACAGCTAAAATTCAAAAGCGTTAATGTTTCTCTTTGCAACTCTTTTTCTATTTTTTTCTTATTTTTTTTTTTTGTTTTTTCAGTCTTTTGAGGTTTCTCCCCTTTCCCTCCAAGTAGAAGTTACTTGAAGCATAGTAAACGCCAAGCAAACATGACTAATGTTGCTATTTGGCAAATAAGCCAGAAACGACTTCTAGCGATTCCGAACCAGGCTATCGTATATGCGTTAACAAACATTTCTCCTTCTTCTGCTCATCTGGGTTATTCCGGCGCTTCAGGGAGAAGGGCAAGGGCAGCTCTCGGGATGCGGCCAAACGCTGCCCCGACCTCCATCGCACAGGGCAGCTACCGCCGAAGCCATCGAGTTGCAGAGCGCAAAGGCAGCTGAGTCGGGCCCCGCGAATGAATACAAACCAGCTCCTTTCTATCTCTCCCATTCTAGGTTGTGGTCCCTTTCAACCATGAAAAACAGCTACAAATTGTTCCCAGAGCTAAACCACTTAACATCTTGGCACTTGGTTGTTTTTAACTTTGTAACAATAGGCACTGTTCACTCCTCTCAATCTCAGCTTTTTATTCTATAATAAAGCAGGAATACTGATGAAAGGCTAGTCACGGCTTCTCCCCGTGGTATCAGGGTGGTGGCATGTGATGATTCACATGGGGTGTGTTTGATCCAAGAAAGCCCAGCCTCTGCTTATTCTTCCTTTGTTCTGTCATCTAAGGTGGAAAGGCAGAGAGAGACGAGTTGAGAATTTTTTTTTCATTTTTTTTTTTCCTTTTTACTATTATTTTGCAGTCAGAGAGCAAGATACATATAAGCAAAACAACAGGGAGTGGAATTCTTTTCTTCAGCATTGAAAATTACAAGTAAGAGATGCCTTTGAAGTGGGAGATCTGTTTCCTGCAAAGTATGGACATTTTATTCTCATCGCTACATTATTCTTATCCAGCGGCAGCTCTCACAGTGTATTATTTGCACTGCTATTGCGTTGTGTAGCCCTGCGGAGGGTCACCATTTGCACTTGGTGCTGTACAATCACAGAATTAAAAGAGGGTCCCAGCCCCAGAGAGTTTAATTTTAAGCTAGGGGAGAACAGATTCAGCCAGAGGGGGATAAAAAAACCCCACCAGAACAGTATGGGTAAGCACAATAAGCAAGGGTCTCGGCACATCCAGCCTAAACCTTTGTCGAGTTTTTCAGAAGGGAAAAAGAGTTCCAAGGAGGGATTCGAAGGGGATAATCACATAACTCTGCTGATGCCGCTGAAATGCTTCCCACAAAGAAAAACACAAAGATGCTTTTCTGAAACTGTAATGAGCAAACCAGAGGTGACCAGCATCTTCAGCTGGCCCTCTGATCCCGAAGTGAGAGAAAACACATTGAGGCGGTTTAGGCAGGAGCAGGGCTTTACGGGAGGCCAGCAGCTTGTGCTCCGCACAGCGGGGAAGGGGGAGCCGCGGGAGGAGCACCAAGACAAGGGTGACACCAGCAAAGCAACAGGCTCGGCGAATTTGTTTTCGCAACAGCCCTGCTGGTATTCTTGGGCGGGGGGGGGCGGAATCCAAGTGTCGGATTCAGAAGGCTTTTCTGCCGATTCCCATCAGTACGCAGCTGTTTCTGACGCTACACCTTCTTTTATTGCCAGGTTATGCAGTACCTGCATATGCAAAGCCCGTCATCGCTTCTGCCGTTTTCCCTCTGTCCTCGCAACTCACTGGGAGGATTTCATAACTAATTCCCCCTCGGCTCTTCTCCTTACCTGTTCTCCGCTGTTGCTAACAGGGTACAATTTCATTCCAAACCCGTATCAGAGTATCTACTCAGAAAGCTTACTGGAGGGAAAGATAAAACCTTTCGAAGACAAAAAGTCTCTTTGGTAACACTGTCCTGACTGTGACCTGCTGAAAGGCAGCGCGTTCACCCACAGGCGCTCAGGCTGTTACCCACTGCAGGACGCTTACCTGTTCCTTGAGCTCAGCAAGCTGGCTGGAGAGCTGTTTCACGAGGCTCATGGTGGACTCCAGCCTCTCTTGCAGGTTCCTGATTTCGTTTTGCTCGCTGTCGCCTTCATTGCTAACCAGGGACATGGCTCTCATCCGAGGGAACCAGTCCAAATTCTTCTCCTACGTGGGTATTAGAAAAATCAGCAATGTTAGGAGGGATTGATGCAGTGCTACTACGCTGAGATTAGAGAAACAAAAACTCAGAAGGACTTCTACCCCATGGATGACACACAGCAAGAGAGCTTACGAAGCAGTAAATTCAGAAAGTATTTTACACAAGCATTTTTATTCTTAGTTCTCCTTAAGATACAAAGAAGGCACCAACTGCAAAATCTTGGTTCCCCACAGTTGCACCTGTATTACAGCGTGGGCCGTGCCGGCACGTGCATCCGCGACTCTGGCACGCAGAAGCGCCCGCCGGGTCAGCTCTGGGGAGGCTTCTCTGGTACACCGGCACCCAGAAAGCCCGAGTGCTCCCCGGGCTTTGCTCTTAAGTGTATGCAGGGACACATTTCCCCACTGTCTCTTCAGCTTGGCTGGCCTCCACCTTTTTCGGCTATCCCTGCATCAATGTCAGCGAGCCAACACTGGAAAACAAGACAAGCCTTAGTCCTCTCCAGACTGGCCTGGAGCGTGCCTACTGCAAGAGCAGAAGGACTTTGGACTGAATTCAGCTGCCCACAACAGAAGATTTGGGGTCCTGGGAATGGCTTAGGCTTCAGCCTGCTACTCCGATTGTACACCTTAGGCAAACGCAAGCACAACCCCGTGGCCAAGGGCTAACCCGCTAAGGACCAAGCATTGCATGGAACAGCACTGAATTGGGTGTTTCTCTATTCATAGACCCCGGCTATGAGTTTAATCATGATAAAAATACTGTAAATAGATGCTACGAGTCAGGAAGGTGCTGTGTATCGGTATGAGCCTGAATCTCCTCCATGGCTCGAGGGCACAGATATTTGTGTGCAAAGCGTACCAGACCGAGAAGACTGGAGGGTACAAGCCCAGTAGTGGCAACCATGTGGCAAGCAACCTGATTTGCCTTAAGGCATAAGACAAGGGCAACAGGTCCCATAGCTGGCGATGCGTTACATCAGTGCACCTCTGCCCTCCACCTTGGGGGGCGTGGGAGGATGTGGTTAGATCATATGCCTGGTGTTTTGCAATGGGCCTCTGCGGACACGTGCACTCGATAACTTTAGCAGAGAAACAGAACGATCTGGAGTGTGTTTCTTCCAGGCTCCTGCGCTGTGAATGGCCCCACACAAATAGCACTGTATGGAAAAGAAAAGGAGGAAAAGAGGAGAGACAGGAGGAGAGGAGGAAAGGAAAGGAGTTCTCTCCAGAAGTCCACATACAAGACGCCTGGCAGGCAAGAGCTGTGCTACTTACGTTGTCTGGGCTTGGTACTTGGTAAAGTTTTAAGTACATTGCACTTGCTGCAGCCCCAGACTTTGCCTGACCGTGAAAATACAAAAGCCACCGCTGACAGTGCAGTATTTGCAGCTGGGCAGCCCAGGGCAGCTGCATGCGAGCGGGTTCCACTCAGGCTGGCCTGGCAGAGCTGTGAGCCTGGGGACGCGCCGAGCGGATACAGCTTTATTGTGTTTCCAGAGAGAGTTGCTTTCAACTACGTGGTGCTCTGCCCTGATCGCCAACCCCTCCCCTCCTACAGCAACATGGTTTAGAAACAACCAAGCAAATCCTCAGTAAGCATGGCAGCACTTACAGTATTCATGTTTTTCCACTATTTGCGTTAGCCCAGTCCCCTCTGTTACCCTGGGTAAGACTAAATGCAAAGGCGTAAGAATTTTGGCTTCTCTTCTTCTTTTTAACTCAAAACTTCTACTGAGTTTCTGTGCGGCTGCGCAACCTCCGGTCCTGTTGCTAAAAGGACAAGATGTTCAGGGAATAAGACCGTGCCCCTCTGTTGCATTTTGCAGCCCAGGGCTCAGCCAGCTGCGTGCGCTGGTGGAATGAGGCCTCCTTCCTCGCTGCCCACTTTTTTGAGCCTCGTGATCTCATTATGACAATTTACTGTGGTTACACATGATGCCATTTTCAATGGGTCATAACTCATTCAAATCAAAACCTGTTTTCACCAGCTCTGCTGGTGAGTTCGAAAGGAGCGCACGTGACCCTCCCTTCCCTGCTGGATATCCCCAGCGGACACACGGAGCGGTAGGCTCCTTTTTCTGCTGCATGGGTTTCTGCTTACAAGACCAGCATTCATTTTCTACGAGTACGCTCCGATATTTATTTTAAATTTATTTTGGCTAGGATCTAGCAGAGCATTCATCACGTGCCGAGCGTTAAGCACAGGTGCACTCATTTATACTAAGCTTAGTTTGTGCACAGTGCCTTTCTGGATCAATGCCTTTTTTTTTTTTTTTTTTTTTT